CGCGGAGGAAATCACGGAACGCGTCCCAGTCAGCTCGTTGATAATAGAACGAAGTTCTAGTGGTAGGAGGTTCTTTATAGGGGGTGGAGTTAAAGGAGATGTTAACCAATACTACTGCATGGTCAGAGTTACCAAAAGGGCATAGTTGCGAGGCGCTGCAGGATTCGGGGATGGAGGTAAAGCACAGGTCGAGTAGAGAGGCTTTACCTTCCCGGTTGAAGGCAAAACGAGTGGGGAAGTTAACTATGTGTGAGGGAATGGGAGATTGAAAAATTAAGCGTTTGAATGCCTGCATGGTCAGTAGTAGCATTCTTAAGCCACAGAGTGTGATGGGCGTTAAAGTCTCCAAACACAAAAATGCGAGCAAACCGGTGGAGGGAGAGAGCCTTGTCTATGTTGTCGGAAATGCTATCAAGTATCTCACAGTCTTGAGAGGATGGAGAGCGGTAAAGGAAGAAGAGATAGCTTACCGCATTGAGGAGAGAGAGACGGAGACACATGTATGAATGGTCAGGCGATTCGAGAGAGGACTCTCTGGCCAGAGGGAGATGTTCCTTGACGTAGACACCAAGACCGTGCATGTGGGTTAGAGAGTCTTTTCTGAGGAGAGGAAGATAGCCGGGGATCGAGAAATCAGAAGAGGGGATAGATGAGACAAGGTTTGTCTCGCAGAGAGCCAGTACATCCGGGCCGTTTGCAGTGAGGAAAGATTCCAGACTGTAGAAGTTTGTCCTAATGCCCCGGATGTTGGAGAACGAAATGTTGAGGGGTTTAGGTGGTTTCTGAGAGGCTGGTTTAGGGTAAATCTTTCGGTTTTTGTAACTCATGTTGGATTTGATTTGCAAAGATGAGAAGGCCCGAGGTAAGAGAAAACAGACAGTTTCGACCGTGATGCGGGCAGAGAGGAGTTGGCAAAATCCGCATCATTATGTGGCCTCAGGGCTGCCCACCGGAGGTGACTGCAGGGACACCTTTCCATGCGCGACATGGCACTACAAACACCACGGTATTATACAACTGTTGATCAGAGCAGCCGCTCAAGACGCTACGCAAGAGTTAGGGCTCCTAACTACCAGTCGGAAACAGCAACCAGAGAACTGTCAGCCGTGTACCCTCAGAATGAAGAGATATCCATTAATTTTGTCGTGGATATAAAACAGACGACCTTTTGTTAAAAATCCAGCAACAGCCGTCGTCTCTACTGGCTGGAATTTCCGTTTCCCGCATTCGCGTTGCTGAAAGAACAAGGATGTGTACAACGTCTCGCCTCAGGACCAAACCTTTTGTGGTAGTAACAAATTTCATCTTTTCGATTGCGGTTGTCAGTCCGGCCTCTGCTGAAACTTCGCTTTCTGTAGCCTGGACATTTATCGCGGCGGTACTGTCGGTCTTTTTGCAGTAAGCCTTGTAATTGTATAGACAACCTTTCTACAGTAGACGTTAAATTCCCTGTCTCTTTGTTGGGCTGGTTGTGGTTGGATAGAGTTTACCCTGCGGCTTCGAAAACTTTCATGGATCCGATCTGCAATGTCCGCGAGTTTTTTCTGTCTGCGTTTCCTCCGTCATGGGTGCGAGGATTTGTGTTGTTGTAGTGGGTAACTTGTCCAGCCATAAGCTTCGCATAATGTTCTCGGACATTTTGTTGTCACCCAGTAAGGTTCGCATGTGCCTCAATAACTGCGATGGGGTGCGGTCTCCTAATTCAACCTGAGTGAAAAAGGTTGCGTAGCATGGCTTCGTTCGAGGCACCGGTCCGTTTTAAAATTGCTTCCTTGAGTCTATCGTACGGGTTGTCATCCGGGACATTTTCCAGTAAATCCATTACTTCCTCGACGATGTCTGCTGGCAGTTTTTCCACTAAGTAACAATACCGGGTTCTCTGGGAGGTGATTCGCTTCGCATCAAATAATGCCTGGATTTGAACGAACCAGGACTTGGAGTTAGTCGTGTTGAAAGCCGGGATATTCAACGATAGTGTGGCGAGAGGGGTTTCCGAAGATTGTGATTTCATTGTGTCCTTCCTCTTCGTTTTGTTTGTTTTTTTAAATGTAGTGTCTCACGTCGGTCACCAATTTGTAGAGGGTGCAAAGGAGTCCCTCAAACAAATAATAAAAAGAAAATACACTACAAAATAAAGTAAAATAAACTTTTGTTTATTTTTGTAAAGAATTATTTTTTCCTTGTACAAAAATGAAATTGTCCGTAAAGCTGCGGAAGAAAAAGAGAAAGAAAGGAACTGGGAATGTGAGAGGGAAAGGTAGGACTATGTGTAGCGAGCGAGATGAGAGAAAGAGAGGGTGAAAGAATGTTCACTGATACGTGATATTGCCTGTTGTGTGAACCGCTGAATCCTCTCGGTGTGTGTGTGTGCTCGAAACTGTCCGTGTCGCTTTGATGTCAGCTTGTCGCTGTTCTCTCTCCCTTCTGATGAGAGTTTCTACCTTCCTTATATAAGAATGATGAGGCTCCGGGGAGATTAAGAAATGGGTTTCTTATGTCCTGATTGGTCAATAAATCCTATTTTTGACCACGTGGTGTGCTTTTCACTACGTCCGAACTTTTGGGTGCGCCGTCCTTGTTTTTGACCCCACAGGGCATGGTAAGGAATGAATTCCCGCGCAATTGTATTTTTTGATACACGTGGTGTGAATTAATTTTTATTGTGTGTATGTGTGTGTGGAAAATAAAATAAGAAACAGCACAAGTTTCGAAAAAATGTTATATAAAATTCAGTATTTTTTTTTATCCATAATGTTGAATGTGTTAAAATTTTTCAACTTTTGCACAAGTTTATGTTAAAAATTGACTGAAAACATTGTTGATATATTTAGAATGTTCCATTATGACATGTCTCTAATTTGTATTTTAAAATCGAGATGTAGTACAGACATTGGGTGAATGTTGGTAATAGTCTTTAACGTCTGATCGCAATGGTTAAGACGGGAGTTCTTGAAGATTACATCTTGGTATTTGGTACCAAAGAATGAGACGCGCGCGAGAGAGATGAATGAAAAGAAACTACTCAGGGAGCTTACACGTGTTCTGTTTATATAATGGTCGTGTACCACGTGGGAGGCTCCAAGCATATTGAGCGGGAAAACAGATTGGTCGCGTGCAGGCGGTTTGATTGGTCGGAACTGACCAATCAGCAAGCTAGATTGAAGATGATTGACCAATGAATACTTGTTATATATTTTGTAAGATTGTGATGGTGAAAATTATAACAGGAATAGCGCATTTCCTAGCAGGGGTTAACTAGCTTGTTGTGGAAGAGTCCACAATGGTGAGGTTGGAAAGTTTAAAAACAAAAAACAACAAAAAACAAATTCAACATTAAAAAAAAAATTTCTACATGTGGAGAGATGTTTCATATATATTTATATAAAGAACAATGCAGCCGACAAAAGAAGTGAAAGACACAATTATATTTATATCTGTACAGATAGCTAAAAAGACATTTATGTACTTAGCTGTAGTGTGCATGCCCATGTGTGTGATATCTACATGGTTTATTTGAAATTAAGTAGTTGGTTTGCCAGAGATCCCCCCTCAGAGAGGATATCTCTTGTACTATGTAGTGAATACGAAATGAAAATAACTCTTTTCTCCAGTTTTCAAATTCACGAGCCTATGCGAACATTTATTTTGACCAATAGAAAAGGGAGCGACTTACAAACAACGAGCCGATGTGAAATCACTTTTTGATTTATATATATATATATATATATATATATATATATATATAGAGAGAGAGAGAGAGAGAGAGAGAGAGAGAGAGAGAGGGGAGAGCGAGAGAGAACGAGCGCATTAGGTCTTAGCCGCGCGCTAAACTCTTAGACGAGGCTATGCCGAAGAGCAGTCTAGTCTGGGGAGGTAGACAAACCCGACCCCATTATTACGAGGTCTATGAGGAATTCTTGCCCGAACCTACGGACTCGGAAAAAACCACGTTAAACCGGCCTTGTGCCACAATCCGCTCAGTTGGGAGCTAGAGAGAGAGAGAGAGCGAGAGAGAGAAAGAGAGAGAGAGCAGAAAGAAGCAGGAGGCAGAAAAGCCAGAGTTCCACGTGTTTGAATAACGCCGGTGTTAAATTACACGCTGATACATTATCAGCCTCTAATGAGAGCAGAGCAATTTCAAAGAACTCCAAAGCTAAGTACCTTAAGTTAAAATACAGTGTAACCCGGATATAAGAGAGTTGTCGGGACCAGAGAAGAAGTCTCTTATATCCGGGTTTGGTCTATTTAACACAGGCTCTAATTTGGGACCAGAGAAAATCTCTCTTATATCCGGGTTTCTCTTGTATCCGGGTCTCTTATATCCGGGTTATATTTTCATGTTGTATACAACTGTATGTGATAAACGAACTCTCCCAATTAAAATTTGTTTTAAACATTTTTGAATATTACTTTGTGTTCGATGATTTATGAACATCTTGAAAATTCATCGAAACTACGAACTTTAAATATTTCCTGAAACAAGCTACTGAAAACTTCAAATGTGTTAAATTTGTAAATAAATTCCTTATCTTGATTCGTTAAATATAACACGTGCGTTTCCTCGTCATTTTCCCTCAATACTTCAACTAAATCCCAGAACAAAAGGAAGATAAAGTAAAAACGGAATACCACCTAGAGGGTAGACAGACAAGAACCTTGGAAAAAAAGAGAAAGTGAAATTTAACAAAAGAGCTGAAAGCCTAATCCAGAAGACAGCATTACTGAAAAACAGCTGAAATCCTAAATGCTGAGGAGACTTGATGTTACTTTAATTAATCTCGAGTGAAGAAGGCCACCATTTTTTTTCTTACTATTGTGAATACTCAATGAATAAATTTGTAGCAGTAACGGGTGGTGCAATGCTGTTGTTGTTTTGGTGCGAGAGGACGAAACTATATTTAAAAAATTATTGCCCCAGGCGCTGATTTCGTTTCAGCTATTCCGGACACCCGATCCTGTATCCATGTTTTCTATGCAACCATTTGATCCAATGCACAGCAATGGCGCTTCATACGCTGACGGAGGAACTTCTACGGAAGAGAGTTAACTTGACGCACAATAATTTGGGTGAGTTATTTTCAAATTATCAAAATATTCAAATTATATAACAAGAAAAGCATTATGTATTAAAAAGAAAAAGCAACTTTTACTTACTCCCCAGAAAAAAAAGCTATTTTTTAAAACTTTAGTGTAAAGTTTCAAGGGATTTTTTACTTGTGTTTATTGTTTACATTTTTAATTCTAAACTAAATGACATTGCTTTTAAGAAAACAAATCATATTTCTTAAAGAATATATATTTATTAGCAATAATTTATTCATCTATGGAACACAAATTTCTTTTAAAAAGAAATATCTGTCGAATTTCTCTAAGAGATGTCTGTTTATCGATTATCGTGGTCGTTGTTAAGGGCGTAAGAAATTCAGGTTGGCACTTGTTAGGTTTTTCTCAATTTTTTTTTCTGGTGTTGATATTAATTCTTAGTCGTTTATTATTTTTTATTGCCTTTGGAACTTTTTACTTGACCACTTACTAGTTTGAAATATGAGCAAAAGTTTGTTTTACTTATTTTACTCCTAGCTTTTTTTTTATAAGTAAAAAACAAAACAAAAAAAAACAACTTAACATCGGCCAAACATCTCGGATTGAACCTCAAAATTCTGAACTTTTTGTTTTAACTACTGAGTTTTGTCCACTTCCTACAAAAAATAAAAATAACTAAATTAAAAGTTTAAAACTTTATCATTGAACATTCTTTTGGTTACTTTTCCTTTTTGTTTATTTACTTTTTTTAATTTAAAAGCATTCATCGATAATACAAAAAAAAAAAAAAAACGTGTTCAAACAAGTTTGCTGTAGACATAGAAAAATATATTTTTGCGTTCCAATCACACCGGAAAGCATCGTTTCCCGTCTGATCACCAAAGTTAAACAGTGTCGAACCTGATCATTATTTGGATAGGTGACTGATTTAAAAAAGCCATCGACATATTTACGAAGAAGAAAATAGCTTAAAAAAGCATTTACCGTTCATTAACGAGTAACCCGTGTAGTTGTAGTGTAGCTAGTCACTTACTGTAAACAACGTGTGTTGTAGTTTTGTGTAAGAAAACTAAAAATAATGCATTAAAATTAAATAAATCCAATTAAAGACTTATTTTTCAAAGTTATATTGTCGTTGGGAACTTAGAATTTTCAAACAGATTTTATTCGTTTTTAAACTTAAAGACTATTGTGGAAGGTTGCCTTTTGTGTGGACTCATTGAGAAATGTCAATTCAGTTTTTTTCATTTTCCGGGAGTTTGAATAAGTAAGTACTTTTACCACGTTTCTTAATCTTATCCCTTTTTTTGTTGCTTCAGCTTCTCAGTGACCAGTCTCATATAATTTCTTTCCATTCTAACCCCAGTTGAGCACTAATGACAATGTAATTTTTTTCGTCATTTGATCCAAATATTTTTTTAAAAAAGTTTTTTTTTTTCCTTTAGAATTTTTTAATTTTTGTTTTGCTTATTTATTTTTCTCAAACTGAATAAAAAATGTACCAATTTGCAACCAGAATATCATAAACTAAAAAAAGGCAAAAAAACAAAAAACAAGTCAAAATAAATTGTAAATTAAACCTAAATTTTGCCCTAAAGTTTAAACAAACAAAAAAAAAAAAGTCAAGTGATATTTTTGTAACTTTGTTCATGTTGAAATGAGAATTAATTCACAACCTTTAACAATAGTAATGAGAAGCGAACAAACAAATCAATTTATTTAAATAAACAATTACTTTATTAAACAAACAAGTTTTGGAAATTATAATGATTGAAATAATTATTTTTAATTAAGCCAAACATTTCGTGTGTCCTAGCAGTACGGATTTTATTTTTTTGTCACACATCTTTGTCACCACTGTTGAAACGCAAAACTCATATCTAATTTTTGCTGTCTAAACGTTCAGCAAGCATTGATGAACACTGATTTTCCAAGCGTAGCTTAGACGTGGCACAAGGCCGAAATTAAGGAGCACCTCCAGTGAGGATCGAACTCACTACTCAGTCGTAATTGTTCTAGCGTGACAAGCTTGCTAACCGTTCGTTACACCACCTCGAGGTGTCCTAAGCATTGATGAATATCTGGGCGGTATTTGCACACTGCACTGCTAGTATAAGAATGTGAAACGCGTTGTCATTAAAAAAAAAAGACCTTTTTTTTTTCACTTTGTTTCATTTCTCCTCTCTTTTTTTTTTTTTTTGTGTGTGTGTGTTTTAAAGAGGTCTTGCATTGATCCGTAAGTTATGTTTTTCCTGCCATATATGGCATTTTTCTAACAAGTATTTCAGATTTTGCCATTTGATTACCGTTAGCTGAATGATATTGAAAAAGAAATGATTCTGAATACTCAACAACAGTAACAACTGCAAATCTCTTAACAAATGAGGATGAAATAAAAAACAAAATGCACTTGTTGCTGTTTTGCAAGGTTTTCATGTCACCAAGGGAAATTATGAGATAAATCAATAGTGTATTGTCCTCTAGGTGGACACAATTGATTTGATATACAAAAAGATTGCAAACTACACCAGAGAAATTGCTGATGATCGTTGTTATATTGTAGATAATTTAGAATATAGTCTCAAAACTTCAAACCAGTACTGGAAGTATCTAAAAAGGCTGACATACAACTGGTTCACATAGATTAGATGTGAGTTGTTAAAGAAGATTGAACAATGGGTTGAAGAAATCCTAAATGCGTCATACAAAAATAAGATGAAAAGTAAATAAATTTCAGCAAAATACAGCTTAAAAGACAAAAACATTTTTCTTGCTTGGGATTGCAAATTCTTGTATGGTGATCTTCATCACACACACACATACACCCTTACAAATTCAAATCTTTAACAGCATTCATTGGACAGAAAGCAACGCTGCTATCTGAAGCGACAATTTTAAAATCGCTATATTTTCATATAGTAAATTTTGTGCACTTTTGGGAGAACCAGCTCACAGAAGTCTCCCCAAATCTCAGGCACTGATTGGTCAGTATTGACCAATCAGATTCTCTGCATGTGGAGAATGTTTCTTCCTGTGCAGATTCCTAATTCGATGGCTACCTATATAAACAGAACAAAAGACGACATGTGCCCATAAAAAAGAATACCCGCTCGGCCCGGTGGCTAGGATCAAAGTGTAGTATCTGTGCTTTTTGAAGAGCTTCACTATTTTTGGTTTCGGTGTCGAACTTTACATCTGCTTGAATCAAAAGAGGAAATTGAGATAAAATATTTCGAAGGTGACAGGTTTTGAAACGTTCAGGGGAGGCTGGTGAGGGAACTATTAAATGCTAATTAACCGACAACGATTTAAATGGGTTTTATTTTCGGTGGGAAATATTTTAATTTTACCTATACTAAACTGTTATCTAAATTCAATTCCTGTGGGTGAATTGAAATACCATCTTCATGCCGATCTCAATTTACATATTCTAAAAACTTAATAATTTTCCTCTTGCATGGCAGAACTGTTTAAAAACATTTATAACAGATTTTATTTATTTCATTTAGTTTTCAGAGAACATTGATAAACTTTTATATCAAAGAGAGACTACTCTTGTCTGACTCATTGCATGCTTCATTTATATATATATTTTTATTATACGCTTTGTTGAATACAATTTATATATATATACTTTTGTATCGTCGAACTTTTTTTTTTAATAGAAAAAATACTAAAGAACTTTGGATTATTCACCTAACAAGTTCTTTCCTATTTTCTATATATTTTCACATATATTGGCTCCCGAATTAAGGTCGAGCACTCTGAACCTTTATTTTTAAAATAACTTCTTTAAAAATATGGAAAAAGTAAATTTCGGAATTTCTCTGAAAAACATTCCACAAACAAACGGAATTATTTTGTTAAACTTTTACAAAAAACAGAGGAATTAATTAGAAGAATGAGATGGAAAGCATACTTCTACTTTCGTGGGAATAACTCAACCGATAAAGAAGGTTGAAGTTTCACTTTTTAAAAGTAAAAATGTTGCACCATTCAACAAACAGCTATAGGAATTTGAAAAAGACCTACTCAACATTATCCATAACATCTTTCAAAAAAAGAAAAGCCACTTCCAAAAACATCTAGACCAAATAGTTAAAAGCATAAATAATTGTGATAAAATACTAGTTAAGTCTGACAAAACTGGCATATTCTACAAATTGGCAGCAGATGATTTTCTAACAATTTAAAAAAAAAAAACTTAACCAGGACTTATAAAAGCGTTGCAACAACAACATAAATATGGTTAACAGCATTAACAGAGCTAGTAAAAAGATAACTGATAAATTAAAAATTAGTGATAGAGTAGGCAAACTTGCTGAAAAGGAATGTTACATAACTCTTAAAGACCACAAACAAAATTTTATGGAAAACCTTACCACTAGAATAATTAACCCTACCCGACCCGACATAGGAAAGATCAGCAAAAGAATCCTGGAAAGATTTACTTGCCAAATAAAAATACAGCTTGCATTAAAATTATGGATCAATACCAAAGATGTCATCAATTGGTTTACCAATATTGATAATAAACCAAATTGCACCCTATTACAGTTCGATATCGTGGATTACTACCCGTCAATATCGAAGGATCTATTTATGACTGCCCTGGAGTTTGCAACATATTCTAACCTGACAAAGGAAGAAATAGATATAATTCATTTTCAAAAAAAATTTGTCCGCATTCATAATGGGGACCAATGGATAAAAAACAATAACGACCTTTTTGACATCACTATGGGATCTTTGAACTCTGCAGAGTCTTCTGACCTTGTTGGTCTTTTAATACTGTACAACTTGACTGCGCACTGTGAAATAGATATTAAGGACATCAGACTGTATAGAGATGACAGGCTCATGGTAGTGAGGAGTTCTACTAATTTTAAAATAGAGAAAATAAGAAAAATTATATTTAGTGAATTTAAAATCTAGACTTAAAGATAACAGTCTGTACTAAATTGAAAAGGTAAACTTTTTAAAACAATAACTCTAGATTTAACTAACAAACATACCAACCTTATAAAAACAAATACTAACCCCTTATATATACACCCGAAGTCAAACAACCCTCCATCCATAATTAAACATATACACTCATCAATAGAAAGTAGAATCAGCATAAACTCCACTAACAAAAAAAAATATTCCAACAACACAGTAGCTTTTATAAGGTCTGCCAGAAAAAATAGTGGATACAAGAATGCAAACATTAATTATAGAAACAATTGTACTATATATATATATAAAAAAAAAAAGGAAAAGAAAAAATCATTTGGTATACCCCTCCACTCAACCAAATGGTTAGTATTGTGCTAGGACAGAAATTTATAGCTTTAATTGAAAAACACTTCCCTACCAATAGTAGACTTAGTAAAATATTTAATAAAACACCTTTAAAATTGAGTTAAAGCTACTGAAAATCTAAAAGTATAATAAAAAAACACAATAATAAAATCCTGAACAACCCCCATGCCTGAATAGTATTAATAAAAAAAACCCTACACTTAAATTAGACAATAACAGTGAAAAAATTGTGTGATTGTAGAAACCCAGAAGACTGCCCATTGGAAAATAAATCGTCAAATCTGTGGTATACCAATGTACTATCTCATCCATTGAGAGTCAAAATACTAATATGATATACATTGGGTCTACGAAGAATGAACTTTAAAGCCAGATGGAGGCAAAGCATAAGTGCCCTTTCAACAATATAAATGAAAAAGAAATCAGACTTTTCTATCTAAATATTTTTGGCATTTGAAGGAAATAAATAGGACACCTCAAGTAAAATGGAAAATTATAAACAGGACTAGAACTTGTAAAACTTGGGATGACCTTTGTGCCTCCATGAGAAACTGCACATTATTAAGTTTCTAAATAATAAAAATTTATTAAACAATAGACATGAGTTAATGGTTTTTTGCTGACTTCATCAAATTTTTGCATTGCATAATTAGCTTAAAAACAAACCTACAATAAAATAATTTTTATAATCCATGGCCCTAATAAATAGTTTAAATACCCAACAGAAAAAGATAACCCTTTATGAAGTCGTCAAAAAACAAATGTTACGACAGTTTTTTTTTTTTTTATATACACAAAACCCTTTCATAAAGAAATAAAATAAAAAAATAAATGAATCTCCATAGACACGTAAACCAGACTAGGCGAAAACATCTTCCGTTTTAAATTTAGACACCCCCACCTTACCCTGACTTGACATCTATGAATGTAACTCTATACTGATACAAATTATTAACACCTAACACCCCTCCCTATTTAAACAATCGCCCTGGCTGTTACCATGGAAATTTTGATTTCTATTATGAATATGCTATTAAAACACGTAAATTTCAGAAATAAATTATTCCCCAAAAAATTTCGCTTGAAGATGGAACAGAGCTTACTTTAATTCTTTTTAATTCAAATAATTATATTGAAGTTTTCGGCTCTTGTTTTGAAACATGAGACCTCTTATGTAGCATGTTGGAATCATGTTTTTAAATAAATAATTATATTTATGCTCTACTTTTGTATCGAGCACTATTTTTTAAAAATAATAACAAAAATACTAAAGAACTTTGGATTATTCTTTTATCTATATATATCTATATATATATATATATATATATATGCTGATACGTTTGCCTTGTCCCTTGTTCTTATATCAGTTTGGGTTCCTAAACAAAAATTAATAAATGTGGTGAGAGGCCTAGACACGCTACATCTCATTGATAACTTCGATGTTCGTTTGGAATTCTGCTGCACTTGTATATGGGTTCACCTTTTCTGTGATTTATCTGTATTTGTCTGTCTTGTATTTGAAAATATGAGTACAAATTGAACTGGGGATAATCCAATTTCAAGCTAAATCTTTTGAAAATGTCACATTTTTTACTTATCCATTTTTTTTTTTTTTTTTTTTTTTAAATCAATTCATCCTAAGCAAGGTAACAATGTCACTAAGATGCAAGGGGGTTACTGGAAGTGAAAGAGAATGAAAAAAACTTTAGAAGAAACCGGAAGCCCAAAATGGAACAAGAGATAAACCTCTACTTCTGTTCAAAACACTGGGGAGGGGCGTGAACTGGGTGAAAGGGGAAACCTATCTACTCCTATTGGGGAGGAAAAAAATAAATAAATAATTAGTAAATTTTCAGAGTTCAAGCAGAGATAGTAGAAGTGTAGAGTTTAAGTAGAGAGAAGTGGAAACCCAGTCCTAAACCTGAAAAAAAAGGGATAAATCTTTACTCCTGTTGAAAACACTAGGAGTAGAATGAACCAGACAATTGGTGAACCTGTATACTCCTGTTGATGACTTACCTTCATCAGCAGACAATTTGCTTTTCAACATGTTACATGTCTATATGAGATGGATAATGAATATTTGCAAATTTTGATGTCAAAATCTGGATTCTAGATTAAAAACTAAGGTCTGGTAAGAGAAATACGATAAATATAAAAACATGAATGTCATTATTTTTTTTAGCTCAATAAAAAAATAGTTCACCAGGATTTGACATAATACCAGAAATACCCCCTTTGTAACCCCTACTCCTAACAATGATAAAAAGCTGGATATTGTGTGTCTGTCCAGCTTTTACATATATTGATTTTCTAAGCACAGCTTAGATGTGAGACAAGACCAAAAGTATGGTGCACCCACTGAGGATCAAACTCACTACTCAGTTGTAATTGTTCTAGCAACTCAAACTTGCTAACCATTGCACTATGTTGAGGTGCCCCCTGCTTACATTGTCCTGGGTATGACGATAAACTACATCCACGTCCTAGTTAAGATAATAAACTGCATCCAACAGCAAGGCCTCTGATCAAGAGGTTTTGAGGAGCGTGGAACCACCTCTTAATTACTGGTGTTCCCAGGTCCACCCTGACCTGGGGTGGTAACATCTGTTAGGGTCCCAGCTATGGGTAAATAGTTAACCCCAAACTGGGATGAAAACACTATGAAAGTGTAAAAATAGGTTTTAATACCATAAATACTTTGTAAAAAATTAATACCAGAAATAAATTTTTGAAGAAAAATTCTTACCAGCAATACATTTTTGAAAAAAAAAAAGACATACCAGTAATACATTTTTGAAAAAAAATATTTAAAAAATCTTGTTGGCATTAAATAACCCATTGAGGTTGATATGCTGTAAAACTAAACAAACCAAGCCTGCTTACACATATGTAATACATCTAGAGAATAACTAAAGTGTATTGCACAGATGATTGCAATTGAAGAAGTGATGATACTGAACACAATATTATTTTTGTTTCATTGGATAACACTGGTTAGAATTATACGAATCCCACTTCTATCAACCATTTTGACATCAGAAACAAAAAGTATAGTTGAAGGGTATAATAACACTGGTTATCCAATGAAATAACACTTAACGAAAAGGAAGTCTCAATTTTAATCAATATTCTTATTTTGTAGAAGATGTCAAATCTCTTGCATTGCCTGGTTCTTACCAAGAAAAGGTCACTACTGTTGGGCAGTCACTGTACAGATTTAGTCGCTTAAAGCAACTGGACCTTTCAAGGAATTCTCTGTCTTCACTTTCAGTAAGTCTGTAGCAATCAAATTTTTCTTTGTGTGTGTATGTTTAAAATGATCTTTTTTTTTTCTTTTTTTTTTTTATATCGAATGGTTACGGTGATCCACCAAAAGAGTAAAAGTGGTCCATTGGGTAAAAAAAAAAAAAGGTTGAGAACCACTGCTCTACAGCAAGGTTATCTTAAGGAAACTAAACACCCTACTAGGATCTATTATTGGTAGGTGCAATTTTAACAATATAAAACATGCAGATGACACTGTGTTGATGGCAGATGCAGGTGGAAAAATAAAGGACCTCTTAGACAAGGTGTTAAAGGAAAGAGAGAAGAAAGGACTAACCATCAATTTTAAGATGAGATGGTTATCAGCCAGAGAAAAAGCTTAAGTTGTGAACTATGATTTGGCAATGTCAAAATCAAGCAAGTACAGAAGTTTAAATATCTTAACAGAGAATGGAAAATGTGACACTGAAATCTGTATTTGAATAGCAAGAAGTGCATTCCAAAATCTAAGCAAAGTACTAAGAAACAGAAAAATTTTGTTGGAAACCAAGAGTGCTGTGTAATATCAACCCTATATGGCAGTGAATGCTGGACAATTTCCTCACAGAGGAAAAGGAGCTTTGAGGCAACAGGTGTGTAGTTCTTGGATGCTGAGAATATCATGGATAGAACATGTATGAAACAAGAAGTCTCAAGGCACATAGAGACAAAAAGGGTATTTTAGAAATTTCAACCAAGAGCAGTACTGGCTTCTTGGTCATTGAATGCCAAATGTTTCCTTATAAGGAAATAACTAATATTATCATTACCATTTTGTAACAATTTTTTGTTTTTAATGAAGAAGCTATTTCATGCCACAAAGTCATCAAACTTTTGGGTAACACCTTTTATATATAAATTTTACAAGCTCTGTATATTTAACTCTGACAATATGTAACATTGTGGGTGTAAAACAAAGGAGAATAATTTAAGATTAAGCACTAAGAAGAAAAAAAAAATGATGTATTTGACAGTGTCAGTTGACAGCTACAAGACTTGTACGTAGAAAGGAAAAGCAGGATGTGGTGGTATCTTTTGATTGGTCTGTGAACTGGCAAATCAGTAACTAGCAGGAAAGTGAGTTCTTTTTTTTTTTTTTTTTTTATAAAAAAAAAAGTGGGGTTTCTTCTTCTAATATTCCTTAGTGAGAATTTTTTGTTTGATAGGAGCACAAAAGATTGGGACTGGGAAGTTTCTCTCATTCAATTTTACCCTCTCCACCACTGTCAATTAGTCAGCAGAATTTCCTTACTTGGGACAATAAATGTAGCCAATACATGCCACATGTGTTGTGTTATTTGTTACTACAAGAAAACTTTTCTCCTTGTGAAAAGATGACTGACTTGAGTGAGCGAAATAAAGGGTTAAGTTTGACCTTCCAACCACCTGAAGAAGGCTGGAGCATACAACGGCCAGAACGTTGTAATAAACATGGCGACAAAGATGAGGACAATAGTCCGAATAATGTAAATAATGTACATACCTCATCTCAGAAATATAGACAGATACCAAAATATGATTATATTAACTTTCCATTAAGACAGGAGTAAATGGTTGTCATCAGCATAGATACCAAGTTCAGAATTAATGGCATCAGGAATGTTGTTCATAATGATGTCTTATTCTGTTTTTGTATTTTTATTAATCTGTTATTTGATCCCTATCTACCTTTTTATGCCAGTCTGTTTATATGATAACTTGCTTTAATCTATTTATCTATCATATCACATACAAATCTATATTTCATATTATAAATCTGAAGAAGTTTTTCAGGATAAAATGGATCACATAAGTGTTTTTCCATTTTGTCATTCAATTACAGACTATTTATCTGAATTTCTGTGGCTGTTCATGTCTGTCTCCATATCTGTCTATGTTAGTCTTTTTGTATGTATATCTAGCTACCTAGTCTATATCTATTACAATGTGTTCTTACCAATAAATAATATTAAATATACACTTATCTTTTCTCTCTACTCATATTTTTGCAGAGATTACATCCACTCATTATGGGACTTGATTGCAAAATTTTTCAATCAAGTCCTCCTGACAAGTGGATTAGAATCTTTGCAAAACTCAGAGTAGGGACAAGATAAATGCACGTTTAATTTTATTTATTGCTATTAATGTTCTATCTCTTGATATTGACCACTATAATCACAAAGACTGCTGCATTAAAAAGTCACCTTCCAGAAATGCCCTGGTCATGCATTTTTTTTTTTCTTTTTGCAAAACGCCTTTTGTTATTGTTTATCTTTCTACATCCGTTCATTATCTATTTATATAAATGTGTGTGAGAGAGAGAGAGAGAGAATTTTTCATGTATTCAATGTTTATTTCTTTTTTAGGGCCTGGAAAATTTGAAGATGTTGGAAAAGCTTAATTTGTATCTTTTTTTTACTTTATTCTTATTTACTTAAACCTGTGCGCCCCCCCCCCCCCAAACATCTCCCACTCTTAAATATCAGCTCTCAAAGTCTCACTGTTTGTGGTCATAGTCTTACTGTTTGCAATGATTTCCTGCATTATTTGCAATGATTTTGTCATATATTATGTCAGAGTATACACAGGGGTGGGTTATAACAAGTTGAACATTGAGAGTTGATATTTATGAGGTGGGTTGTACGTTGAGAGTTGATATTTATGGGGCAGGTTTTACGCTGAGAGCTGATATTTACAGAGCGGGTTGAACATTGTGAACCAATATTTATGGGACAGGTTTGGGCAGATTGAAGGATAAAAGGTTAAAGTGAATTTAGAATATCTTCTATAAGAGCATTGAAACATTCCTGGACCCAACACTACTCCAAAAATCTTGCCAAATAATCAGTTTTCTTTTTAAGAAGTCTTGGTTGGGTAGAAAAATTTTCAGCACTTCCTTGTATAATTTTGTGAAGGTTGTTCTTAGAAATCTAATCACTAAAGGTCCTCTCTTCCTGAAGGTGTATGATTCCAAGATGATTGTCCAACACCACAAGATGTTACAAAACCAAAATAGTAACCTGAAAGCATTGATATGGTAATTGTAAAATTAGCTGTTTCCTTACAAGGAGACCTTTGGCATAAATTGATTCAGCAGCCAGTAATGTTTTCAGTTGAAAGTTATAAAATCTTTCTCTTAAAACACTTGATTAGGAAAACAGGTTTCTCAAGTATTGTAGCTTTTATCACTCTTTCCAGTCTTGATAGGAGTTTCTTTCTTAACCTTTCATTTGAAGTAGTGTGGAATGTTAACATCTTGATTATGTCATTATTTTCTCTTTGGGTTATATGTGCAATCCATTTTAGTTGTTGCTGCTGTTGGTAGTCCTCAAGTAATGTGGTTTCTGTTTGGTATACACCTGGCATGCAATGTGTCCAACCCAGTCAAAAATGAATCCTTGTAACTGAATCCTTTTGGTCATAAGACAATCCTTCATCAGATCTTAGACTGGTCCTACAGAATCACATAAACTTCACTGAATAACAAAAAAAAACAAAAAATCATTTTAGGACTTCCAAAAGTAGTAACAAGTAAAATGGGTAGCACATGTAACTTGAAGGGAAAATAATGACATAATCAAGATGTGGACTTTCTACACTACTTTAAACAAAAGGTTTGGAAGGAAACTCCTATGAATACTAGAAAAAGCATTAGCAGTTCATGAACTTAAGTTTAATTTACTGAAAAACTGTTTTAAGAGGAAGATTTTATAAATTTCAATTTATAGTAACGCTACCTGTTCAGTCAATGAATGCTAAGTGTTTCCTGTACAGAAACCAGTTATTTTTACCATTACCATTTAGACCAATGGTTCTCAGTCGAGGCCCATATGGATCCTGGGGGTCCACACAAAAAATAACAAATTGGGGGTCCATATTTTAGTGGTCCATAGAGCAATTTCACTTTGGAGATTCGTTAAATACAGTTATTTTCATTAAATTAGTTTTACTTCTAAATAAAGCATTTACTATTTCTGTAATACAATTTCTAAATATCTATTAGTAAAAAAATAAGTTTTTTTTTTTTTTTTTTTTTCATCAAATGGTTATGGGGTGGGGTCACCAAAAGAAATTATGAGTAAAAGGGGTCCATGGATAAAAAATAGTTGAGACCCACTGATTTGGACTCTTGAACTCTTTGTTGTTATTGCCTTATTGTTTTGGCTGATCCATTTCACATTTGTGTATAATCAGTTTGGGAAGAGAAGGAATCTTTCTTTTTTTTCTTTAAATGCACAGCAAACCTTAAATAGTACAGGAAAAATGGTTGTAAATATACTGATTGACTTTGCATTTTATCAATAATTGTTATCACATGAGTGATTCCAATAACTTATACAACTCAAGTAATTTCATACTTTTTATCTAACTGAACACTCTGTTTTTTTTCCATGATTAATAAAGAAATTCTGGCCTGTATTATTCATTTGTTCATTAGCCTAATGTATGCTGCTACCCTTAATTTTCTAATCTTTCAACAATATTCCCTATTATTTGAACCTCACTCCAAAGAGAAAACTATGGGAACTCTTCTCTCTCCAGATATGATCTGCCATGCCAGATGTTTTTGCTTCCTGGATATGTCTTTGTTCCTTGAGTTTGGTTTCAAGAGGGATAGCTGTTTTCTTTTCTGTTCCACATTTGCATGAATTGATATAAATGCAATCTTCATGATATAGATGCAATGCATCTTGGGTATGTCAACACTGCTGCAAATTAAGGAGGGTGTTACTACTATTATGAGTGTGAGGTTTTGGTTGTAGTAGTAAAAGAAAAAGCATAACAAGTTAAATTAATTATCTAGCTCCAAATTGTAGCAGACAGATCTTCCAGATTAATGCTGAAAATGAATTGTGAGGAAAATCATGGAACAGAAAACACAACAGGATATTGAGTTGAGAGGTTATTCCTTTTTATGTAATTATATGTTGGTAATAAATTTACAGACGTGTTTTTTGTGTGTTAAATTGTGATATGTGACACAGTCCATAAATGTTTTTTTTTTTTAGCATTATGATTATTTGTTTGTTTTTTTTTTTTTATTATTTAACTTTATCGGTCCCAAATTCTTTTGAGGATTAAACTGTGTCACTGGGAATGAAATTTGGAGACTTGATTTTCTTGGTTTTGTAGTAGTCAAATTCTATTGGGAATCAAAAGTCCTACTGCCTTCTCTAGTGGGTAAGGGAACACTAATTCTACTACAAGACACTTTGGTTAAAAAAAAAAAAAGAAAAAAAAAAGAAAGGTTTTTATTTTTAGCTGTGATGAAATACAATCACTTAAAGACTGCTACAGTGTCTACAAATTCTTTTCCTTTACTTTTTAAGTAAATTCACTCAAGTGAACAACTCTTAGAATTGATTTAATGTGATGGGGAATTTAACCAAAGTAAGAATGAATAAGGTTGGAACATTTGGACTGTTGAAAGAAAACAAAAAAAAAAAAACAATATTCAGCTATTCTACAGTCTTTTAGTTTTTCTTCTATTAAAACTCTTCTTGCTGACTTTTTTTAATTTGCAGAAATTAGACGAATATTTCTGATAAGTTTTGATTCTTGCCTTTCTAATATTATAATCCTTATTGTAGAAGTTTTGATTTCAGAGGAAGTGGTTCGAAAAAGGTAGCCAGAAATTCATCATTAGATAAGCAGAAATTTATTTATCTACTTTAAGTATAAAGCCCTTTTGTTCCCAGAGAAGCATTGGCCATTGACATCTATCCTCTATTGAACATAGTTCTGGGCTCTACTCATTGCTTTTGTTCAGTTACCTCACTATCCCTTTATTTCATTCCCAATGTCATATCTCCATGTGTTTCTTTGAAGTCTTCTGTTCCTTAAAGTGTTTGAGTTTGTTCAGTAAGCAGTACAATAAGTATTTAGCATAAATATATTACATGTGATTAGGCCATTTTGATCATATAGGAGCATAGGCCATTGCCACCAATCTTTGGTCAGGGTTTGGCAAGTAGTGCTGGATGCTGGTTTCCTGAGAATGTGTCCTCTCCAACTCCGCTTCACCAATGCCAACACACCAGTCGCATGGCTGGAAAGCTAACCATTAATGGTCAAGTCCTTTTTATACCTGGTAAGCATGATTGATTTGAAGAGAGGTACTGACATCACAGTTTGGATTGGCAAAGTGTCAGCAGACTTCATTATGCTGAAAAATGTCTTGATCCTCAGGGAAATTGGCACAACCACAAAAAAAGCACTTTAATTAAAACATCCTGCTGTATGGTTCTAAGACATAAAGGATTACCAAAGTTTTGCAGTAAAAATTGTAGACATCAAACAAATAAAAGTTCTTATTTTCTACAAGAATGTCAAAGTAATTTCTTATGTAAATCTTTCTTTTATGTTTTCTTTTTTTAGTGGCATTTCAAATCCTTATGGGTCATTTAATGCTGAAATTTAATTTTCTTGAAAACATTAGTAATTTTTTGGCTATGAAAATGTATTACTGGTATTTTTACTATAAAAATGTATTTTGGCCCTAGTTTGGGGATTAACTATTTGCCCACAGCTGGGACCTTAACAGGTGTTACCACCCTGGGTTAGGGCGGACTTGAGAACAACAGCAATTAAGAGGTGGTTCTATGCTCCTCAAAACCTCTTGATCATAGGCCTTGCTGCCGGATGTAGTTTATTGTCATATCCAGGATGAATGTGTCCTGTCCCTTCACAATGTGGTTGATCATGGCTCTCCACAACTTCTTATTTTGTAGCTTGAAGCAATGTTTATCCCCTTTCTAAGCTGTCCAGTTCCTGCTGTTCTCCCATTCCTTTGTACAAGATTGTTAGGTAGCTCACTTGCTGTTTCCCTATGCACCTCCATATGTTGTGTGAGTTTCAAATTCTCTAAGCCCTCTTTTCTGTGCCTTAGAAATTTCAACTGTCCTTTCCTCTGTCCTTTTTGTTTCGATTTTCCTTAAAATAAAGAGTGATATACTTTAGTATCTACCAAGAAGTGAACTGTTCATTGTCTTCTGTAGTCCCCACAAATTTACATAGCAAGTTAATTTGTGTTATTTTTTTTTATTATTTTTGACTGTTTTTTTTTTTTTTTATGTTTGGTAACCTCTTCTGCATTTTGATTGTTTCTTTTCCATGGTGCTTTGATATTGTTCCAGTTTTATCACCTGATATTAAAACCATGACTGATTTCTGCTCTTCCTTTAAATTAATTCTCTGGTAACTTTGGTTTTGCCAGTTGATGCTACAAGATTTGGTAACATACATACATTTATTAATTGCTGTTTGTTAATTCAAACCTTAATGAGTGATGGCAGATATTACAATAACATCAGCAGTTTGGAGGAATTGAAGAAGCTGCAGCACAATAGACAACTTCAAGATGTCGATCTTCGTTTGAACCCAGTCACTCGAAGTGAACCAGACTATAGACTCTATTTGATTCAACTTCTACCAAACTTACAAAAACTTGGTAAGGAAATTGTCTTTTCCTTTTTTGATCGATCTTTTCTGAAAAAAATTTGAATTTTAAAAATTTAATTAAAAATATGAACTATTGAACTCAATCTTTTTTTTTAATTATGTTTACTTTGTTACTTTTATTAATTTATTAATATTACTTTTATATTATTACTTTTATTTATTAACTGCCTGTACACAGTTCCTGTGGTAGAATGATAGTTAATGGGGTTGTATATCATTCCTAGTATTACAAACAGGTGTTGAAAATGAATAAAATATAAGATTTCTTATTTCTGTCCAATATTCTGACAAAAGAAATGATCCTCTCTAAACATGAGAATATTAATCTGAACACATCCTGTGTATGACGATAAACTACATCCGTATCCTGGGTAAGACGATAAACTGTGTCTGATAGTGGGGCCTCTGATCGAGAGGTTTTAGGGAGCGTGGAACCACCTCTTGTTTGCTGGTGTTTCCGGGTCCACCATGACCCAGGGTGGTGGCGCCTCTTAGGGTCCCAGCTATGAGCAAATGGTTAACCCCCAAGCTGGGTTCAAAGCACTGTGAAAGTGTAAAAATAGGTTTTAATACCAGAAATACATTTTGTAAAAAATTATTACCAGCAATACATGTTTGAAGGAAAAATTATTACCAGCAATACATTTTTGAAGGAAAAAATATTGCCAGAAATACATTTTTGAAAAAAGAAAATTATTACTAGCATTTTTGGCAAAAAATATTACCAGCAATAAAAATTTTGTCAGCATTAAATAACCTACTGAGGTTGATATGCTGTAAATCAAAACTCTGAATAGTTCATCTTGGTTGTTATTTTCACACTGTTTCAACCACTGTATTCTTTCTTCAGGTGTCTTTGTTTCTATTCAGTAACACTAGAATTGAACCTTTTTTTTTTTTTATAACCAATTTGGAAGGACATATCTGATTCCACTGTCTCTGTGAGTTAGTCTCATATTTTAATTCCTCCAGATTAATAAATTCTTGTGATGCCACTTTTGTTTTTACCACTGAAACCAATTGTATAACTTGGCATCTGATTGACTAGCATAGATTGAACTCCTGACTATCAAGTTCCACTTAGCCAATGCTTTTATACCCTAAGCTATTGACTATAGCAACACAGATGAGGATAATAGTCTGAATAGACCAATGTATAATAATAAAAATCTAATTGCTTAGAAGTAAATTTTAGAGTAAAATTTTAAGGATAATTATGATATAAGGATTAAAAAAATTCTGATTTTAAGATGAAATAGTGGAAAATGATTATCTGAGAGGTCAGTCTTAAACTTAAAACATTGTTTACAACATCAAAATATTATAAAATCACACATTTTATATAGATGTTCTTTGGTTCCCAGTCCAATAAATAAAGCAGGAACATTGATGTGAATTTAGATACAGACATAGGAAAATGGTAGAAAATTAAACAAAAATATGTATTTAAAAAAAGTGTATTTTTAAGAGTTACATTATTTTAAGCAGTACAGACAAAGAAATATTTTACCAAATTTTGGTATTTATGGCTGGAATTATGCAACTGCATATAAGTTTTGGTTCTAATCATTTTGGAATTAATATAAAACACTTTCCTCTCCCCAGTTTATAGGAAGAAGTACACACACATACATATTGGGATTTCTTCCTAGTCAGTAAAATAAGCTGGTTCTTGATTTCATCTGACTCAGTCTTGGTCTCTCTTGTCTTGAAGTCAGAACGCTATGTTTGCTTATCCAAATTTGCTTTTGTGTGTCATTCTCAATTCTTAGTATGTGAACTTTTTGCAATATTACTGTTGTTTTGCCTTCTTACTCTTAATTTGCCTTGCATATATCATTTGCTTGCTTTATATTATTTTTTACCTTGTTCTTTTTTTTTTTCTTTTGTTATTGCTTATTGCAAACTTTGCTGGGCAGTTCTCTCATTCATCTACACTTAAGAATGGTCACTCACTCTACAATAATGTTTATAAAAGATCGACTCTGAAGGTTTGGGATGCTAGTTCAAGCCTTGTCAAAATCTACTTTTTATTTTTATTTCTAATTTCATGTTATTTACCTTAGAGGTTCAAGAGTTTATCTTGTGTTGTAATAAGAAAACAAGAAGAAGATAAATAAAACTAATAATAAGATAGTAATGATGAGGGTGTTGACACAATGTTTTGATAAAAAGCAACAGTAATATTTATTAGCGATAAAATAATTTTAATTATTTGGTCTGTACTTATGCAGAGTGTTGCCATAAAGACAAACACTAAGATTTAGTCAAAATAATATTGAAAATGCTTCATCAAAAGACTTCAAAATAAATAAGCATTGATCATGGATATGATGGTTATAATCTTCGTTGGTTAGGGCCTCAGACTCAACATGAAGGCCTACATCCAGTGCATTGAGGTAGTGCTGCCCTGGGTCAAGAGGGTGGCTGCTGGATAACCCTATGTAGCATGAGAACACAGTCATGGCTGTCAGACAATTTTTGCGACCCTTAGATCTGGTTGCCTATCTCCCCAGACTGTGCAACCCCCTTGATTATTATGGTAGATAAATATGTAAGATAGATTCAAGAAAAAAATAAAAATAAAACAAAAAAACGGGTATTTATTCCTGTCTAAATATTAACTCTGGAAACTCCAACAAAGTAAAAGTGGCAGCTGCTCTCAAAAATGACCTCCAGTCAGTTCTTAACTGGGGCAAGAAATAGCTTGTTAATTTTAATGCTTCCAAAATGAAACTGCTATCTTTTAATCACCACAGAACCTTTCTTGCCTTCCAGCAGCATGGTTGATGCTAACCTCCAGGAGAATAACTTGTTGTACCTTCATTGTTGATATTTTCTACTCACATTAAGTGGAAAGATTATATTGAATCAATTTCTAGGTTTATGGCTAGGAAATTTGGGTCACTGTCATGCTAGACAATTTTTTTTTTCCAACCTGAATCTACCTTACATATTTATAAATCTACCATTCATCCATGCTTTGAATATTGCTGCCATATATTGTCTGGTGCTCTTGCTATATATCTTGAGATGTATATGTATTTATCTTAAATGTGTTGGAAAATAGGAGAACTGGCATAGGACAAAAGTAGAACCAATTCTTTTTGTTGTCTATTTACAGATGATCGATGTGTACGAGACAGAGAGAGGCAAGCAGCAATGATGCATTTTTCAGATTCACCTGAATTTGATATTTCTAAAAATAAAGATGTGGATCCTGCACCCCAAGGAAACCCTAGGGCGAAATTTGTTAAAGATTTCGTTGGTGGAAGAAGTAAATACAAGGATATTGATTTTTCTTTGTTAATTTTTATTTTTATTAACCAGTTAATTGCTTGTGTACAGAATCCCTGTTGTAAAACAATGGTCAGTAGTCTTGGCTATCATTAATAGTGCATTTGATCTTCACCTGGTTCTCCCAAAATGACACCTTGTGTCATAATTGGCTTTATCCAGCAAATATTTTGTAGAGAACAGAAAAGTAAAAGCAGTATATTGCAATTACTGTATTTTCTGGCTTACAAGACACACTTTTTTTTTTTTTCCTAAAAAAAATACCCTGAAAAATATGTGTGCATCTTCCAAGACGAATGTAAGTCAACGCCCAGGCTCAAGTAAGCTTGGACGGTCACCTAATTGGTTTGACTGATAGGGATGTGGATTTATATGTTGAGTCATTACACTATAATGTTAGCTATCTAATTCATCCTTTTATATGATGTAACCTCAGTACATAGCTGTTACAAGTATTTCCAAGATCATAAAACTTCCTGGAGCCAAGCCACAAGCTTAAACATGCTCTGCTTACTAGCAGCAGTGGGAGCCTTTCTGCTCTTGATCTTGATGGTGTAGGTTTGCTTACACTCTTATATTGTGAAAATGTCTGTTACCACCACATGTATCACAAGTTTTTTTTTTTTTTTCTTTGTCCTAGAAATTATCATCCATGGCGAGTTCATCAAAATGATTTAAAACCCCCCTTGGACAATGAAAGATATGGTATATTTACCAACCATAAACTGGTATGTCATTGCCATACAAACAAAATTGGATGAGTGATTAATGTAAACAATACGTGACACCAGTATGTGAGGGACACATGGTGAATGTGTTGGGGAAGGTGCACCCTAATATTTTTTTGTTTATTTTTATTTTTTTAGAAGTTTCTTTCCAATACATCTTGTAAGCTGGAAAATATGGTACTATTTACCTGTTATATAGCCCAAGAACAGTTTGATCAATCATGGCAGTGTTTGGAAGATAGATTTTACAAAGATCAGATGACTTTCTATATTTGCAAAGGAACTCTAGAATAGTTTGGTAGATCATAGCAGTATTTGGAAGATAGATTTATCAAAGATCAGATGACTGTATAGTTACAAAGAAACTGAAGAACACTTTGAGGTATCATGGCAGAGTTGAAAGATAGATTTACCAAAGATCAGATGGATTTATATATTTGTAAAGAAACTCAAGAACAGTTTGATTGATCATAGTAGAATTTAGAAGATTCTCAATGGGTGCTCCACACTTTCAGACTTGTGCCACATCTAACCTAGGCTTAGAAAATCATTGTGTACTCTAAACATAGTGTAATGGTTAGCAAGCTTGTCTGACTAGATACATTACGACTGCGTATTAAGTTCACTCCTCACGAGGTGCTCCATACTTTTGGCCTTGTGCTACATCCAAGCTATTCTTAGTAGGGCCTCTTGTCATGGTGTAATAGTTAGCAAATTTATCTTGCTAGATCCATTATGATATAGTTGAGTAGTGAGTTCGATCCTTACTGGCTGCTTACCTTTGGCTTTGCCACATCTAAGCTACACTTAGTAAATTACTATAACATTGTAACTTGTTCCTGTCAAGGTTCATAGGATTAAATCATCTTAATCTAAAAAAAATAGTAACTCTATAATTCCCCTAAACACTTATTGCCCACTTGAGAGTGCATAGTGCACCCAGAGGACTGTTACTGCACACATTAAGAATTACTGATCTATAGCTATTAATATTTTTCTGTTCACTATTCCTTGGAGATTTTTCAGTTTACTGTTATCACTGTTGTAGGATAAAAAAACAAAAAATAAAAATACTTATAAATATCTAAAGAATGTCAGGAAGTATACATTTTTTTTTATACAGAAATCTTGTTTTGTTTGTGCCTTAAAAATTATCATTTTAATTTCAGTGTCATTTCATTTTTATGCTCATTGGCTAAATTTAACAAGCTATTATTACAGGTATTATACATTTAATAAACTTATTCTGACACTAATGTTTAGCATTAATTCTTAGCCACTGTAATTTCTTTCTGGATTTCCAGTGCTCAACAACTAGATTGAGCCCGTCTAAAATGTGTTCAAACAAATTTTAGATAAGAAATTGCAAATTGATAATTCTTAGCAAATTCCACCTTCAATTCTGTTATCATTTTGATTTTCATTCGTTCATAGTATGGTGAACAGTCATCACAGATTGCATTGATTGGATAACATAATGATCTAATTTTTTTAATTTCAACCAATTAGAGTTATGAACAGAATATTTTTATTTTTTTTTTATTTTTTTTTATTTTTTTCATTTCACTCCAAGCAAGGTAATAAAGCCACTAAGATGAAATGGGTTACCAAATGTAGATGTGATTTTAAAACAAGTTGACAATCCTTACATTCTTCTTATAGAATCAACTTTATTTTCAGCTTTAGGTATGGATGAAATGGCTGTGTTTGACATCATTTCTAATGCTGGAAAAGATGTCTTACCTCTGAGGCCCCTTACAGGATCTACAGCTCGACAGTCTGCTATGGAGGAATATTCTTTTGATGGTAAGATGATCTACTTACTTAGGCTGGGCTTGCAGTTTTTGATACTATCACAATGATACTGACCCTTCTAACATAGACTTATGGGGTTGAGAAAAAAATGGCATGATCTTGTTTTGTTTATTGGCATATCTCTTCAGGATGTAACCAGTCTTGGCTCTCCACTGACTCTTTTTCCTTTATTTGTAAATTGCCATCACTTCTTGGGCAAATGGAGTATTATCATGTTTTCTACAGTTTTGGATTCACAATACTCTTTCTGCTAGTCTGGATTCCATCCATTCCACTCTACTGTTTAACCCATAAAGGGGAAGAGAAGTGATGGATTCATATTTGGGAAAAGGGCATTTGTGCAAAAGTGAATGGAACAGACTAGGCCAGGATTTAAACCTAACTTGCCAGATCTACTGTCCATGCCAATAGCTGTTTATAAGACAACCTTATTACAAGCAAGAAGAAACTGATTAGTTTCCATTCTCAGATTTAAAAGAAAATAAGCAGAATAAGTTCTTAAAAATTATCTTCCTTTATAGAATTGGTTTCTGGAAATTTGGGATGCCATTATTACTTGCAGGATATGGGAAGTGGAACACAATTAAATTGGTTTAAGCTTCTTATGATAATTTAAAATGCAAAGTATAAGAGAACCTGGTTACGAGCACTTGAAAACTTTGTGGAGAGCTTATGTTATTGATAAAAAGTCTATTCCAAACATTATATAAGTTTCCAAAAAATATACAGGAGCTCTGGAAAATTTAGAAAAAAATGATATACCTCAGATAATTCCCATTGCATTTGAAATGATTTGATTGATATTAAAGCAGTTTAACAGGATCTTAACTTGGCCTTTATTGCTCTCTGTAAATTTTGCATTGCAGCTCTGAAGCAAATGGGATTAAATGAAAAAGCACAGCACAACATGGCAACAAATCAAGATTCTTCCAAGGTATCACTTGATTTTTTTTTCCTTAATTGTTCTGTTTAAGTGTTCAGGTAGATGGAGCTCAACAGTCCATGAAGGCAGTCCATCTCGGAGAAGGAAAACCCTGATTTTTAAACCTCTGCTGACTTATAGTCATATCTAAACATGGAAATAACTATGGAAGTAAATCTAAACCCATGATTCCCAAAGTGGGACAGACACACTATGGGTGCAGTTTGATGGGGGGGGGGTTGAGAATGAGTTATTAACAGTGAATTTTTCTCTAGTAATTCTATGAGTATGAGTATGTGTGCGAGTTAATACATACAGTAAATATACAATATGCATACATAAAAATATTTGTGTGTATGTATGTACATGTGTAATTACATATGTACTGTATATAATATACATATATTTACATTAGTAATACAATATTTTTTATAAATATTGTAAAATCCCAAAATTAAATGATAATACTATTGCATATATGTAGTCTCAAGTTCTTAAGGAAAGTTAAGTTAATGGCCTTTTAGGCTTCCTCTACACGAATAGGAGTTCACTTTTTGAATAATATATGTCATGGCAGTGGTGGGGTCATCACTATTTTAGAGATGCTTATGTGGGGCATGGCCAAAAGAAAGTTGAGAAGCACTGGACTAGATGCAGGAAAGAATTCTTAATAGAACTTCTTACAACTTTGACATAGACTTTTCTTGGACTGCTACTCAAGCTATCATTCGGACTGGCTGCTTGATACATTGACTTTTATTTATACACTAGTGTACCTGTGCCATCAAAAATAATAGTAATTGTTAGAAAGTTTTCATGCAATGAAACAAAAGTCTTGAAACAATGTATTGAGATTCAATTAAGCAAAGATAAAGAATTTACAACTAAAACAGAGGCCAATGAACTGTTTATTTAATTCATTCCCTTTATATTTTATATATATATATATATATATATATATATATATATATATATATATATATATATATATATATATCACAATATTTTTATAAATATTGTAAAATCCTAAAATTAAATGATAATACTATTGCATATATGCAGTCTCAAGTTAAGTTAATGGCCCTTTAGGCTTCCTCCACATGAGTAGAAGTTCACTTTTTGAATAATAAAAATGATATAATTATAATTTGGGAGGAAATCAAAACTTTAGGGATGCTTAGGTGTAGCATGGACAAAAAAAGGTTGGGAACCAGAGAGAAAACAGAGTGAAACCCCAAAGGTGGTTAGCTGTCAACACTGACAATTTTCCAACAATTCTTGCAAACAAATGGGCCCTCAAATGTAATACCCTCTATTCCTTAGGACCTTGTTGGTACGGGGGAGGGGCGTATGTGGTCTGGGTAGTGCATGGCCTTAATATGCCATCTCTCAGGCCTGTGTCCTGGAGAGGCCACTCCAGTCTTACTACTAAAGAATTAATTTTTGACCAACCAGGGTGCTACCATTAGATAGATGATGCCTACTGTAAGTATTATAGACTTTTTGTTTTTTTTGTTGATACAATTACTTTCATCTCTACTAAATTATTAGATGTTTTTTTTAATGTTTTCTTTTTTTCTCATCAGCCAAAAATGATAAAGCCAACAAATCAAATAGTAATAGTCTATGGACTTTGTGAGCAAATGATTTCGGTATTGTCAGCAACATGAAATTTACATGTACCAATCAATACTGAATGACCTTCAGAATAGTATTTACCAACAATATGTGTAAAAACAACATGGCATTCCTAAAGTTTATTGTGAGAACTTGTCTATTGTCTGAATTAGGAACAAAAGTTGCAGATGCAACCCATAAAATATATACTGCATTTGTTGAAGGGGAATTTAATGACTGATGTGGGGTAATGTAATGATTATTGTTAGAGAAAAGAGAATTGGTGAGCTGAGTTCAAGTTCTAGCCTCGTCTGTTGTATTCGTTTTAACACAATTGCCCTTGGGAAAAGCATGAATCTGTTTGTTCTCCACTACCAGCTATGTATTAAATAGCTGAGTAGATTGGGTTCTCTAGCCTTGGATGGTAGTCAGTCTAGGATAAGATCTGCTAGAAGGCAAGTGGAAACTATTCTATCTTTCCCATGAAATTATAGAAATTCACTGATAATAAAAAAAAAAAAAATGTAGAGAGCCATGATTAACTATGTCCTGAACAGAAAATATTTTCTGGCTTTAAATAACCTGAAAAAGGTTAAGTCATAAAAAAAAAAAAATCAATCTAGGATTTTCATTATAATTATCACTTTACACCATCTAGCAATTGTTTTTTAATCATTTCACTCCAAGCAAGGTGATAATGCCACTAGGATGCAGCAGGTTACGGAGAGTGAAAGAAAATGAGAAGACTTTATTGATGAGAAGTAAGGAAAAGGACAATAAAAGAAAAATAGATGGTGATTGATGTTGCTTTTAAATTTTTGAAAATTATAGATGGCAGGAAAGTAAGAAATTGCAAGAGAGTTCACAGGTGAGAAGTACGAGAAAAGAAACTGTTAGCATAGAACTTACGGTTGAATCTAGCTAGTTCAAGAGTAAAACGATGTAACCTAATTGCCAATTTAATAGCACACTACATCAGAACAATTGCCATGAAAATATTTGTAGCAAAGACAGAAGGAAGCCATGTGGGTGGGAAAGTAACTTAAGTTTAGATGTCAGGATCAGTTTCATTATTGAACTTTCTTTGAAGTTTGTCAAGAATCTCAAGATATATACTCAGAGTACCAAACCAGATATGGCAGTAGTCCTCAATGCATGGACAAATAATAGATTTATAAATGTGCAATGAGAAAAATTGTCTGGCATGGTGACCTAGCAATTGATTCAATATAATCACTCCACTTCATGTGAATGTAAAAGGTGAGCTCAAGAAGATGCAAAGAGTTGCTCTCCTGGAAGTTAGCATCAGCAATACTGATGATAAGTAATAGAAATGGTTCTCTGTGTGGGTTTTATTTTATTTTATTTTTTCTTCTGTTATACATATTAATTGGTGCAAAGAGAAATTACATGGATTTATTGGTGTGTCTAAGTTCATGCTTTGTAACCTATTTATTGCGATTTAGTTATCAGTAAAAGTACATCTTAAAATTCTAATGGTAACACATTTTCCAATGCTTAATTTTAAAAGTGAAACTTTCAAATTTAAAGTAATTATTGGTGTTTAATACAAACTCTTATATAATACTGGTAGATTTTGTTTAATGGCATATCAACCTCTATGGGTTATCTAATGCCCGAATTTAAATATTTTGAACGAAACTGTATGTCTTCAACTACAAATGAAATGTATTGTTGGCAGTTTTCCTACAAAAATGTAATGTTGGTATTTTTATAGAAAAATGTATTGCTGGTATGTTTACTCTAAAAAATCTATTTTTATATTTTCATAGTGTTTTGTTTTTGTTTGGGGGGTTCACTATTTGCCCATAGCTGGTACCCTAACAGGTGCTACCAGCCCAAGTCAGGGTGGACCTGGGAACAACAGAATAGGTAGGTTTAGGTTCTTCAAGACCTCCAATCAGAGGCCTCGTTGCCAAAATGTAGTTTAACATCATACTCAGAACTACTTGTATAATTTTTACACTTACATAATATGCACCCTTGTATAATACCACTGAATTTGAAGTACTTCTGGAAAAAAAAAAATTCCCCCGATAAAATATGCACCTTACTCTATCAAACTTCTAACAGTTAAATTTTACCCTAATATAGCAGTTCTTCAATTTTTATCAGATTTGTATCAACTAAAAGGAACAGAAATGTGATGGTACAGAATGATGCTGAGAACACTATGGACTGAACATGTGAGCAACGATGAAGTTTTAGAGCAAATGGAAGCACCTCTTTTTTAATTAATTTTGTCAAGAATATGTAGTCGGAACACTGGACCAGATAGTGTAGCAGTATTCAATGCATGGATGATTAGTAGATTTATAAATGTGCACAATGGATTTTGAAAAGAAAAATTGTCTGACATGACACAGTGAACTAAATTTCCTAGCAAGTAGACATAGCAATTGATACAATATAATCATTCGACTTCATGTCAGTGTAAAATGTGATCCCAAGAAGTATTTAATGCATGGGTGAATGTGCAAGAGGGATTCTAATGAGAAGAATATGGCCAAAAAGGTGGACTAGGTAAGCAATGACAAACTAAGGACCGGTGTTTATTTTAATCTACTTCAAACTTGATGGATGCTTGGTTTGGTTTGTTTGTTTAATGGCATATCAACTCTTTATGGGTTATTTAATGCTGAAATTTTATTTTCTTGTGAGCTTTAGTAATTCACCCCCCCCATAATATATTACTAGTAATTTTTTAATTTTACTATGAAAATCCATTGCTGGTAATTTTTTCTAATGTATTTTTATATTTTCATGTTTTGACCCCAGTTTAGGGGGTTCAGTATTTGTCCATAGCTGGGACCCTAACAGGTGCTACCACCCTGTGTCAGGGTGGACTTGGGAACAACAGGAATTAGGAAGTCGTTCCACCTCCCAATCAAAGGCCTTGCTGCTGGATTTAGTTTATCATCGTACCCAAGATGATGCTTATTTTTGAGGTTCAATATAAACATCACAGCAAGAAATAAGAACCTGATGAACTATCCAATAAAACCAGCAGAAAAACAAATTCTTTTTTGTGACTTAATAATTATTTTACTTCTCTGCTGTTTATTTTAATAAAGGTGGTAGGAGGATGATGTCAGCAGTGGCAGAATTCATAGAAGTGTCATCAACAGTACTGTTTATAGAGGATTTATTGGTTGGTTAGTGGCATATCAACCTCTATGGGTTATTTGATGCCGAAATCTAAATATTTTATATGCGATTTTATTTTATTTTTGGAGATAATAATGGTTTAAGGATATAAGTTTTACTAATTAACCTATAGCTGTTGGGAGAAGATACAGTTCATGCCTTTCCTAAGTGTATTTGTGTGTTAGTGAATATAAGAAACCCAACTGAAATTGGAACTAGGCTCTCTGATTAACAATTCCTAGCTTTTATGTATTACATCAACTGCAAATCCAAGCTTACAACATTTGATATTCCCTAATAGTCACTCATCTAGGTATTGACCAGGCTTGATGTTGCTTAACTTCAGTACTCATATGGGAACTGGTGTTTTAATATAATGTGGCTTACAGCCACAGGATTTATGATCATACATGTGTAAAAAGTATGTCATCTGTGGTTGTGGTTGGCAGGATTTGGTAACTATCTTACCTCTGTGGACCAAATCATATATTAATGAATGAATATTTTTTTTTTTTTTTTTTTTTTTTTTTAATGCTATGTCCTTTCAGGATATAGGTGATCATGACCCTCCACAGATTCTTCTTTTCCATATTATATGTGAATTGCCATGTATTTTTGGGCAAGATAGAGGGATGGATTCCTGTTGCCTTCTCCATGATTTGGTATTCAGAATTTTCCTCCTCTTAGACTGGTTGCCAGTCTACCCTTCTGTTTAACCCATAGCTGAGAGGGAGAGGAAAGAGATGTATGCCTTTCCTTAGGGTATCAGTGCAAAAGTTAGCATAACCCACTAATCTCGAATTTGGTATTCTGATTCCACTTCTGATAACCATTACTCTAGCGGCATCTCCAATAAGTAGATAGTGGAATAGTATTGCATTTTGTGTCATCACTAGCTTCAGCCCCCAATGCCACTTTATAGACTTTATCAACGAAGGACTGTTTCTTTTTCTTATTTGCTTTTATTATACAAGAGGGATAGATGTGGTAACATCAATTCTAGCAGGTATCGGGAGGACGAACTTAAGTGGAATGCATGACTAAGGAATCTGAGTGTCGAAAGTGTGTTTTCTATATACCAGTGTTTGGTTTAGGAACAAAACAGAACCTGATATGTCCTGGGTATGATAATAAACTACATCTGGCAGCAAGGCCTCTGATCAGGAATATTTGAGAAGTGTGGAATGACCTTTTAATTGCTGTTCTTCCCAGGTCCACCTTAACCTAGGATGGTAGCACCTGTGGCATCCCAGCTATGGGCAAATAGTTAACCCCCAAAGCACTATGAAGGTGTAGAAATGGATTATTATAGTAAAAATACCAGTAATACATTTTTGAAAAAAAAATGGTAATACATATTCTATTCATATGAACCTATCCTAAAAATCTTGTCTGCATTAAATAACCCATTGAGGCTGATATACCATAAAACAAAATAAACCAAGATTAAATAGCCATTTTCTACGCTCTTCCCTCCACATCTCGCCAGCCTCTCTCTTTTTAGATTTAATTATTCTTCATGTTTTTTTTTTGTTTTTTTTTAATCTTTTGCTTTTAACTTTTTCTTTTAGGGGAGGTCAGCTGTGTTAAACAAAGAAGTTACTGAAGGAAACTTAACAGAAACTGTCCATTTACTTCCTACCAACAAGACCAGCACGAATTCTCAGGGAGCCATTCCCCCTCCTAAGTATAAATCTTTATCACAAAAAAATGGGTAAGCAAAGAAATTACTTCTCTTATTCCAGGTTTTTGCCACTGTACAAGGGAAAAACAAAAATATAGCAAACTGGTTATACATTAATTTCAGACATGATTAACCTGTCCTTATCTAGTTTTCCAGGATTATTATATGAAGTTGGTTTGTGGTCAAAAGGAATCATGACCCAAGGATCAGGAGTCATTATCCTATCCTCAAAATCTCCACTTCCTACCACCTTCTCTTTCATTTATATCACACAACCGTCTAACCAGTGTTCTACATGCCACACCTTTGAGAGTACAAAACTGTGGGTCACTTGGGGAATCAAATAGTGCTCTATAGTGTTCAATGATGAGAGCAGGTTCTGCCATCAAGTAATGATCATTTGTGTATGTGGGATAGACCCCGGGCAGTGACATCTTTCAGAGTGTATTTGCCCACAAATCACAGACCCCGGGCAGTGACATCTTCCAGAGTGTATTTGCCCACAAATCACAGACCAAGCTCCTGGCATCATAGGGTGCGGGTGACATAAGTTACAACTCTTGTTCACCTTTGGTGTTTGTGAAGAAAACAATGAACAGTACTATGTATGTACCAACCTGTTCTTCTGCCATTCTGGTAACATGAAGGCAATATGCTGCTCCAACAGGATAATGCTTGTTAACATGATGCCTGTTCTGTTCAATATATCTTTTTTTAATTAATTGATCACCCAATACAAAACCGAAGAGCCACTCAAGGTAGAAGGTCGTGGGGAAAATTGTGAAAATGGCCTACCTCGGAAACACCTGCAAATCTGTGCGATGTGCAAACTCCAGTTTGCTAGCGGTAAACAGAACCAAAATGGCAGCGCCCATGTTTTATGCCAGGCAGTCTTGGTTAGTGAGGCGAATGAAGAAAACAGTAACCAGCGAGTAAATTCAAGCTCTCCCAACTGGTATTTCAAACTTGAGTCGTTCCTTCCTGAGTTCTGTCTCCAAATCCACTAACTGCCCGTTCTAGCGTCAACCGTGAACGTCCCTCGAAGAACTTTCGCCGACTTGGAAAAAAAGTAGTTGTTTTTATAGTTGTTCATGTACCCGCAATCCGCCGTCTTCCTGTGATCCCATAATTCATTGCGTCCATGTCCCATAATGCATTGCGTCCATGTCCCTAATGCATTGCATCGTTATTGGATAAAAATGCGATGCCAGTCCCCCCTCATTCTTTTATGTTATCTGGCCGAGGGGATGGATTACGTCAGAGCGGTAAGTGCTTTTTTTCTCTCCCTCATTTCAACTGCAGTAGCTTTACATGCTAAGCAAATGACGGGCTCTTTTTTGGCGGGGACAAGGCAAGTCGCGACCAGTTGTGCTCGTCCAGGTTCTGTCTCATGTCCTTCACTCCCCTGATCTCGGATCACACAGATGACAGTGAGGATCGGTCTTTTTTGTTCGGGTGCTCCTCGAAGGGGATTGGTTGAACTTCTTCATCAGAGGAGCTCTCATTAGACCGTCCGATCTATTGGCAAACTACCGCTATCGGGTGATTGGTTGTTGAATCAACTCTATGTATATTGGCTGTTCACTATCCTCCGTGTCTTCTTCGTCAGTTGTGGGATTCGGAGCCAAAAAGGGCGCAGGTCTCTAACATGGGGCGTTCCATCGACCCTTTGACTGCTGACTCACCACCTCGGCGTCCGGTTCCAAATTTGGTCGTGCATTTACCGTGGAGTCTTAACCCAGACAATGTCCCTTCCTTGTATTCCCCTTGTTATTGTGATTCAGGCGGGGCGTCGCGTCGATGCCTCTCACCCGGACGTGGTATGTGTGCAGTACATCAGCCGGGTGCCGTGGAAGGTGAAAGGTTGTCCTTAGGGTTATGCCAGTAAACCGCTTCCAAGACTGAACAATTTTTTCCTGGCGCTATGGTTTTGGCCTTCTGTGGTTGCGTTCCACAATACCATTTCCAGACGGCACGTAAAGCGCACGGAACCTCAAATGCACGCCCCAGCTGTTTACAAATTCCCTAAATTGTCTGCAAGTGAGCGTGGTGTCATTGTCAGTCAGTATTTTGGTCATGGGCCTCGTTAAATGAAGACTGTCTCTAGCTGACGAATGACACCAGCAGAGTCTTGCCGTCTCAGTGGCCGCCATACTGCAAAACGGGAGGACCACAGTCAATGAGCGTAAGAAAATGGCTACCATTGCAATGGGTTACGTCCATTGCTAACCTGCTCCAGTTTTTTCTCACACTCAAATTTCCTTTCTTCCAATGCACTGGTGCTGGATCGTCGATTGGCAGGCTTACAGGTTCTAACGACAGATTTTACCAGTTCCTTGGACACCGTTGGATCTACAGTCCTAGCAAAGTACATTGTTCTTTTAACACCTGGGTGCCCTCTGCTGGTGGATGTGGGTCACCTGACGTTTGCTCAACTGGCTCGTTGCGGTGACACAACTCACTTGCACCGGTTCTCCTCCTTTCTTGTGCATCTCAACCAAGCGTTGCGGCACTCTGGTGAGGCTGTCAGCGGTTCTGACAAGATTTCACCAACGTCACAGTCATAGTCAGTGTACTCCTCCACCAAAGCTCGCAGTGTCTCTAAGCGCCGCCTCATCAGCATTTCACCCGCTGCCCCGTGTTCACCTTGGCGTCCTTCCTGTCAGGGTGTCAGACACCCCGATTTGATGCTGAATCGGTGACCACATGCATAACTGGTGCCTGCCACTGCAGGGCAAGATTCACGCCCTTGATCACCGCATCAAGCTCAGCAAGATAATGTGTTTGGCATCATTGGTTGGGCGCAACCAGCAAGCATCTTCCACGGCGGCTCCCATTCACCTCTAGTGCTACTCCCGTGTAATGGAGCTTGCATCCACCAAACTGTCATTTCATTGCCGTTCACACCAGTCTCCGCCGACAGGATCTGATTCCGCACTCTGGCCCTGTTTCCTCCAGCATACGTCCAAGAGGGGCATCCTTTATCTCGTCGTCCCATCCTTTGGTTAGTGTGCTTGCATAACGCTTAATAAATGCAGTTGCCACCCTAAACCCAACCGCACACAGGGAAATGACCCACAAGTTTCCCGCACAAGGAAAAATCGGCTTGGCGGGTCACCTTTTGAGCAATTTCTGGAACTTGACCTCCCGCTTCCATCGAAGGGAGTTGCTTTTTCCCAGACTTGCAGACCCAGGACCTTAGTTTCGTCTCTCAATCGCTCCGGATCTTTACAGACTAGCCCGTAATCTGCAAAGTGCTGTCTTACGGCGCTGCAGAAACCAAAGGCCTTCATTTATGAAGATATAAATCGAAGCGTATGCCGACGTGGCACTCTTAATGTCCTGATCCTGGGACGTTATCATGTCGATCACTGACTTCATGACAAGAGGTGCCACATTCAGGCCAAAAACAAAGCGTAAAGGCAAAAACGCTTGCCATAATGACCACTGTTTGAAACGGCCATAGCGATTTGTCAATGTGAATCTGTGGGTACGCATTTCTCAAATCCAACAGCGTCGTCAGCTCCTTGTTGTCGCCATTCTCGTAATTTCTGCGCACACACCTCTCGTCAGCCGTGAATCGTCTACAAAGCCGTTCAACTCCCGATAGTCAAGTACCGGCCGGACCTTCTGTTTGTGTTCTTATACGACCGCCATTAAGGGAATTAATCCCTTGGGTGGGCCAAGCTCTTTCTCAGGATATGGCAGTAGCCATCCGTCCGCTGCCACCGTGCTAGTTCTTCAATTATGCATCGGGCGTGGCCAGGTACTGTGTACTCCTGTACTTTATTAACCAACGCTGGGTGAATAACCACTCGCCCACTTCCCACAATGCAGTCCACGTTTTTGTGCTTGGTTAAGTCTCCAAAAGTCAGGCTTGTTGATAACAATGGCGGCACATGTGTTCAAGTTTCAAACGAGCTTCGCCTGATTCGGTCAATAAACACCTCCGAGCACTTTGATTGCATCAATCTCGAGAAGAAGATCAAATCAGCAACTGCCCTTGGACCAGAACCTCAACAGTCACCGTGTGAATATGCTCAGGGTGGCAATTTTGCATCCCACGGCACTTCAAGGGTCTTCCGCCGGCAGTCACCTCCCACCTCTTCCTGCTTCCAGCAACCAATCTTGGAGTCTGGCATCCGAATCCACTCAGAGCTGTGCACTCTACTCCATCTACAAATACTTGTACGGTGGGTAGATCCGGTTTTTACTTGTTAGGGGAGAAGGCTGGCGCTGATGCCTTTCTCCCCTTGGGCGTTTCCCTGGCATTCTGAGGAAATGTGTCGATGCGTTGCATCGAAAACACCGCTTGTCGCGACCAGACCTCTGCGTTCTGTTTGACCTCTCCTGACGTCCTTGTGTACAATTCTTCGCCATATGGTTGGGTCCAGAGCACTTGTAGCAGGTAATCGTTCTGCTAACAGGTTTGGCAGGGGAACCTCAGCTTCTGGCGCGTTGGCTCTATGGATGTGGCGGCCAATACCTGGCACCCTTCGTCATCCGTCATAATAGCCCTTGCTCGGGTCAGAATCTGTTCTAGATTCATGTCGTCCATCCTGGAAGAAGCTTTGAGAAGCTGCCTAACATGATGTGGCAGTCCTGACACAAATGCACATGCCATCCCGATCAGGTAGCGGTTCTCCTACTGGGCTAAGCGATGCATTTCAGCCAGGAATTCATCCACAGTTTCCCCTAAGAGAACGCGTCCCATAAATTGGTCGAGCGCATTAAATTTGTCAGTCGCGTATGCAGTCATAAGGGCCCGTTTAATTTGTTCGCGTCTGCCTCTGCTCTCCCACTGAGTTGTCTATATACAGCGAGGGCAGGCCTCAAAGTCGTAAAGGCAAGATCGCTCGATCTTGTCCATGGCACAAAGTTCGCAGACCAATTCCACATTTTCTATCCATTCAACAATGGGCATGTCCGTTGGGGGCCGCTTGAATTCTGGAATCAAGCGGACGTCAAAGACTTTGCCTTCCATTTTGAAGAATCAATACGCCCGAAATAGCTTGAGGCGAATGAAGAAA